GATGAGCTTTGTAAAAATCGACGTGTTTCAGAAAGGCGGGGCATAGAGGAGAAACAATAATGTACAGTATGTGGAAAATAATGTTTTTTTTTAACCTTAAACCACATAAACACATTTAATTACACCAAATACACACAATAATGTTCTTTTTAGCAACATCATATGACCCCTTTAAAATTCACTGTCGGAAGTAATAGAATGTGTGTGTCTGTGTGTGCGTATATACACATATATGCAGTGCTTACCTAAATTTATTAGAACACTTGTCATAATAAAGAGAGAAAACGAATATTTTAGGAATCTGTCAAAAACTTGTTTAAAACTAAAAAAAATTGTATTGCCATTTATTAGGCAAATAACAAACGGAAACTAAATAGTCTTTGTTCACACATAATAACCAAAAACCTTATATATTTATTTATATATGTTTATATGTTTTGTATGGCCTCCTTTGGCCTTGATAACCGCTTGCAATCTTGCTGGCATTGTTTATCTGTACTTTTCCACATCTGTTGTTATTGACTTCCAAATAGTTTAGTTGTTCCCAAAGACTTGCTATCTATCTTTGAATCCATTAAAGGTGACCTTTTATGTCCATTTTTACAAGATGTAAAATAAGTCTCTGATGTCCCCAGAGTGTGCATGTGAAGTTTTAGCTCAAAATACTCCACAGATATTTTTTATAGCTTGTTGAAATTGCCAATTTTAGGGTATGAGCCAAAATGCTGTCTATTGTCTAATAATGTCTATTGGTGCCTTCACGTGCTATCACAAACTTTATAAGTCCCACTTGTGATTATGAGCTTGACAAATTCAAGCAATCGACTTCACATTGCTTTCATATGCAATTTTTAACTACCACATTCCTATTTATGATCATTCTGGTAGCACATGAAGGCAGCATCAGTGAAGGCAAAGCAAGGCGCTTTAGCTTTAGCTAATTGATCCCTCTTTCAGAAGCAACCTTTGCACAACTCCAGCACTGAACTGACCCTCGTTTGTGAGGCAGTCCGGTGTAAAATGATTGGCACAAACATATAGGACTTTAAAAAAAATTTTCCAGGACATTTCCTTCGAAAATGAAATGTAAACACTGTGTCCTCAGCGGCTCAGATGGAGGGAGTTTATGGAGAGTTCTATGTTCGTTGGTGCATCCTGATACACAACACGTGTAATGCCTCTTTGTAAGTTTGTACTTGTAAGTACCTCACTAGATCTCGCAGCACTGTGCAGTAATCAACCCGAGTAAACCTGTTCCGAGCTGATAAACGGTCTGCGCTAATACATTGGGCATGCGATGGTCACACCAGTGTGACTGCTCACAAAAAAAAAAAATATATACAGATAAAAAAAAAATAATAATAAAAGGTCACAAAATGTGACCATTTGGTCGCAGTCTGGAGCCCTGCATTACAGAAACATAAAAAAACATTAATATTTTGGTATCACCAATACTGTTAGTTTAGGGCAGCTGTGGCACAAAACTTTTATTTGGTGGTGGTCTAAATTTGTTAAGAACAATCGATTAAAAAAATAACTAATTAATCACACAATTTGCATATTAATATATTTTATGTTCTCTTAATTTCACATAAAATCTCAAAAGAAATGTAAAAGCAACATACAAATATTTTTAATAGGGATGCACAATATAACATTAAATGCATAAAATTAAATGCTGTGAAAAAAGTTATTAGTTTATTGTTAATGAAGTAACTAATGATAACAAATAAAACTTTATTGTAAAGTGACTTTTATCTGCCTTTCTCCTCCCTCCATCTCATTTCTGTCTGAATATGGTTCTTTATTGCTTTGATGGTGGCAGTATATCATGATCAACAGCAGTCAAGTTCACCCTCTAAATGGATATCACTGCCAGATGGTTCAGCCTATCTTGTTCCATTGTGTTTCTTAAATATGTATGCAGTCGACGCAAGGCACTAAAGGAACGTTCACAGCTGCAACTACTAACTGGGATTGTCAGTGCTACTTGAAATACTGAATTCAGTGTGGGGAACATGTCAGTATTTAGCAGCTTGAACACACTATGTCAGGAATTACTTATTTCTCCTTCCTTCTGTCCAATAAGATGTTTGCCACCAGGATCTCCTCTGACTGCAATTCTATTTTATAATGTGTGGCAAGAATCTTGAGGGATTCTTCATCAAGAAAGGTGTCTGATGCTGGATGGCAGGCTTGAATGCCCTTCATAACATCTACTCCTACTCCTGAGAAATGGTTGTCTCCTGCATCATTCTGTCAAGGCATAGGTAGGACAATGTACACATGAAGTCATTTAAACTGATTTCTGAGGTTGTCCTACATGCTGTCTCCACCACATAATCATCAAGCCCCTTCTGTTTCCGTCTAAAACCTACAGAAGGTTCTGGAATGTTATTTGCCTCACACAAGGCCTTTGCCGTTGAATATAACTCTGTAGCACTCTGAGATGTGCGTTGTTCTTTAAGAGAGTGGTAGACTGCTGTTTTGTACTGAACTATTTGTCCCAGGTCTACGGTTTCCCTCTGCAGGAATTTGTGGAGGCCATCAGCGATAGAAAGACGTCTATGAAACATCAGCAGCATGTAGACAGTGTTAAAGTTGGAGTCTGGACCAGAGGCCTACAGCCATTGGTGTTGAAATTTTGTCAAGACACTGCAGAATAGAAATTGTCTATTACAGCACTGAAAGACTTCACCTGACATACCCAACGTGTTGTTGACAGCTGTACCAGTTCAGATGATTGTAGTCCAAGCTGTTTTTGAATTTCAGTAAACTTTTGGTGATTAACTAGAGATGAGAATCTCCAGTAAATCAAACAAGTTGGTGGCTTCTGGTATTGCCTTGCATGCATGGCACAGCACAAGATTTAATTGATGTGCATAGCAGTGAAAGGTACACTGCTTCTGGATGACATTCTCTGAAATGGGCATGTATGCCTCCCACAGCTCCACTTATGACTGCAGCGCCGTCATATGCTTGCGGAACACACATAAGATGGTCAATTGTATGTGATTTCAGTGTTTTCTTTATTGCATCAGTGATGGACTGTGCATTAAAAACCAAACAATTTGCTGAAACCAAGGAAACTTTCCTTGATTCTGCCCTTAGGAGTAACGCAACGCACACATACTGCCAGTTGTTCAGAGTGCCTGTCCCGTGCCTCATCTGCCATCAGAGCATACATGTTTGAATTTTTCATTTCTCATTTCTTTTATAATGCTTTCTGTGACGACATCTGGAATACTTGCAATCATTTTATTTTGCTATGAGTGAGACAAGTAGGTAGCATGGGATGGAGCATTGTACCGCTGTAGAAATGGGTCAAACTCTGTAAGAAGTTTCAGGCACTCAAGGAAGTTTCCCTGATTTTGACTCTAGCTCTGTTCATCATGCGTCACAGCAACAACACAATTGAGGTATTCAAGTCTCTCAGTTATTTCTCCTACTCTGGCACTAAGAAGCTGTTCTGTAATATCTCCATGTGGATGGGTTGTTTTGTAGTTCTTCCAACTTGTCATGGAAGCCTTATGAAGGCTACTTTGTTCATGCTCTCCGAATGATTCTAAAGCACTTTTCCAGTTGGAGAAACCTGCACTTGTTAATGTGCCTTTGCTGTTTCAAATATGATGCTTCCGAAAGAGTTGACAAGAAAATCAAAATGCAGAATTTCTGAATACTGAGTACTCAAGCCATTGAAATTTGTCTAGCCAATTCTTATTAAAACTCTCTGCTGTGTTCCAAATTGGGTAAAGGGATACTGCTGAAGCTTCAACTGCTTTGGGCCTGTCTGCAGTGTTCCTAGATCATCCCTTTCACTTTCTGCCCCTTTCTGTGTTTCTGTTCCTAAAGCCTCTTCTTTCCTTGCTGATTCAACTGGGACATGGTAAAATGGCAAGCTTAGCTCTATTATTGTTTTAATAAATCACTTAACAACATGATTTTTTTGAGAATAAATGAAAAAGTGAAGAACTCTTTAACCATTGCTCATGCACATATTCCATTTTGTACAGGCTAGACTATTCTTTCTTTATACATACCATCACATACATAACACACAAACACTTAAAGCCTAGAAAAATTAAAAACGCAGGGCTCTATACCCTTATATGTTTTAAGGAGCATTTGTTCATGCATTTACACTGGACTTACAAATTGCATAAATAACCTTATGAGATGAATGTTTTAAAAATAAAATTTGTTATACAGAAATATGAAATGACAGAAAAAATTAGAATGATTGCCAGTAGGTGGCACTGGCGGCAAGCCACTGTCAGAGGCAGTCATGGCCTAGTAATTAGAGAGTTGGACTTGTAACCCAAAGGTCGTGAGTCCGAGTCTCTGTACTGGCAGGGACTGTAGGTGGGGGAAGTGAATGACCCCCTTAATACCATGACTGACCCTCAATACCACGGCTGAGGTGAGACCCTTGAGCAAGGCACCGAACCCCCAACTGCTCCCTGAGCGCCGCAGCAAAAATTGCCCTGAATTGTTGCCCTGACATGAAGAAAAGTCTGCCACAGACCATGCTAACCAAACTAGTCATAATCACTCTAAATGCGTGTGTGTGTCCTAGGAAGACTGCACTGCACAACCGTTAAATGATCAAAAATACAAATCAGACACATAATTTAAAAACAAATAAGATATATAATATCATGATTTCCAATCTATATTTTTTGCTTCACAGTGGCATGTCTCGGTAACAAATAACATATTTTGACAGATGGTGAGATTGTTACAGCGATAAACATAGTAAGTTACAGATACCTGAAGCAGCTGCATCTTGCCGTTTAAGTGCTGGCTGGGGGTGTTTTACTTCCCTTTTGTTTGTTTTTTTAATTTAGTTTAATTTTTTTGGAATTTTGAAATGTCCACTTTTATTTTCAAATAAATTGATATAGTAAAATACCACTCACCAATGAACCACCTAGCTCCAACAGATCTAATCTCATTGACTGGATCGTATAGACCCTATAACTTTTTATCGATGGTTGGGGCAGTTTACATGTAAGTCAAAAGTAGCTATGAGCCTCAGTGGGCAGTCCTTATCGGGGAGTGAATTAATGACAACGTAAAGTTTACACTGTTCCCTATGAATTTTGGTCTCTCGACTTGCGTCAGAAGCTGAAGTATTGGGTGAAACACCTTTTTCCTAGAAATACTGAAGCCTGATTGAATAACACTATTGTGTTGCAATAGCCAATGGCATTCAAGTACGCAAATGTGGAAGCAGCACCGCCCCCTATATAATGCATTTCTTGGTGCCATTTGCTCAGAATCTTTCTCCTTCATACTACACACTATGGATTCATTGCCGAACAAGTGGATTATTCTTCCCCTTTGAGCATTCCGGTGCGATCAATGATGTAAATTAAGCCTTAAGCAACATCTGCGCAGGACCCATCAAGTTCCCAGACAGACATAAGTCGTGCGTCTTTTGCCTGGGCCGCAACCACGCGGAAGCCGCAATTATCGAGCCCAACTGTCCTCACTGCGAGGAGATGAACCTCGAGGCTCTCCAGACTCGAATAGCCCTCCTGTTCAATGAGCAGTCAATCCTCAGCTCACAGCAGTCCTCTTCCGCGAAGGACAAAGCTGCGTCACCCTGAAGTAGGAACTAATAGGTTTGGTTGTGAGCTTATGTTGCCGCATTGCCCAAGTGCCTCCCTCTCTCCTGGCCCATCCCCCCCAGAGGCGGGCTTCTGTCCCCCTTCTGGCGCCGAGGACCTGGTGTCATTTGGGGCCCCGGATGAGGAACGTGAGGAGGCCATGTCAACTGTGGCATCTTACCCGATTGATTTGGCCACCAGTCCCACGGAGTATTTTCCAGCAATGCATCACAGCGAGGCCGTCCATGTGGATGAGAAATCCGTCCGCATTATATCCAAGGTAGTGGAGGAACTTGAGCTGGAGTGGGCCCCTCCTGCCGAACCAGAACGCGGCAGACTGGACGAGTGGTACCTATAGCCTGGCTGCTGTCGCACTGCGGGCTTCTAAAGGCCAGCCCCCTTTTTTTTCTAAAGTGCACGCAGAAGTATCTAAGATGTGGCATGCCCCGTATTTGGCTTGTGCCCACATCTCTGGAACAGCGCTCCTCAATACAGTTGATGGCGCCGTCGCACAGGAATATTTAAATCTTCACCCTGTGGAGGAAGCGGTGGCTGCCCAGAATTGCTGAAAGTCAAGTCCTCGGTCGTGCACCTCAACAAGGTGTGCCACACTACCGGCAACATAACTGGGAAAGCCTACATAGCGGCTGACCAAGCAGCTTCATCCCTCCACATGATGGCTGTGCTGCAAGGATAAGCGTGGCCCAGATCCAGAAATCTTCAAAGAGCTCCGCAGCGCCACTGATCTCGTGAGCTACTAAATCAACAGCCCAATCCATTAGCCGCACGATGGGTAGCCTTGTTGTGCTGAACCGCCACCTCTGGCTGACACTACTGACATGAAGTATTCAGAGAAGACGGTCCTCCTCAATGCCCTCGTCAACCGGGGATTGGCTTGTTTCTGTGGATCTCAAATACATGTACTTCAGTATCCAGATTGAAGGCAGTTCATCTAGCCCTCGAGCAATTTTACGCTCAAGTTCACCACCAGCATGTTCTCATTCGTTCGGACAACATGGGAGTGGTGACGTACATAAATCGCCAAGCGGGGGATCAACTTGTGCCCCCTCTTGAGGATCGCGACAACTCTCCTGTTGTGGGCAGATCAACATATTCTATCTATTCGAGCTGTCCCTGGCCATTTGAACTGTGGAGTGGACATGCTGTCGAGAGAGGGAATACTCCAAGGAGAATGGAGGTAACACCCTCAAACAGTGAGTATGATTTGGAACCCATTCGGGCCAGCAGAGGTGGACCTCTTTGCATCGGCAGAGAACACTCACTGCCCGTTATTCTTTTCCCTAATGGAACAATTCACCCTGGGAGTGGATGTACTCACTCACCACTGGCCGAGAGCGTGCAATTCTGTCAGGACCACTATCGTCAAAGATGATTGACAATTAGGAGGGTAATTAGCTATTGAGCAATGCGAAAACTGCTGATAATACTGAGGGACCTTATATATGAATGCTTAGATAGGTGTTGTATTCCCATAGGTAGATGGGGATCAGCTGAAAGTCAGCTGATGCGAGCTTGACTAATGTGACCTGCCAGAACTAACGCTACACTTGATATATGTGTTTCCACCAGTAAAACTCCTTATCAAGTGCTGTGCAAGATCAGGGAGGAGAAGGAAACAGTGCTGCTGGTCGCGCCAAAATGGTCCACGCAGCCCTGGTTTCCAGAATTGCTAGAACTGCTGACGGGGCCACCTTGGACATTCCAGTTGAGGAAGGACCTCCTATTTCAAGCAAAAGGCTCAATCTGGCATCCCAATCTGGAGCAAAGGGATTTGCACGTCTGGCCACTTAGCGGAGCTCGCTAGTAGCTACACTCCTTCAGCGCGTGCTGAATACTATTGCTGAAGCGAGAGCCCCTTCTACTAGGCACCTGTATGCTCATGAATGGAGGGTCTTTGAGAACCGGTGCTATTCTAGGACAGAAGACCCGGCGAATTGCCCGGTTGCAGTTATTCTTTCCTATTTGCAAGAGTGCATGGATGGTGGAAGCGCACCTACGACGCTCAAGGTTTACGTCGCCGCTATATCAGCATTCCATAAGGAGATTGACAGGCGACCGGTTGGCAGGAATGATCTAGTGGTCTGGGGAGGGGATGAGACGGATGAACCTCTCTCGCCCACCCACTATCCTCACTTGGGATCTAGCTTTAGTTCTAAAGGCTTTGTCGTGTCCACCGTTTGAGCCGCTACAGTCGACTCCATTAAAAATGCTCTCTTATAAGATGGCACTTTTGCTAGTGCTCGCTTCAGTGAAGCGCGTGAGTGACATGTATGCTCTTTCAGTCAACAACTCCTGCATGGATTTTGGCCCCAGTGACTGCAAGGTTGTTCTCAAACCGAGGGAGGGTATGTCCCTAAGGTGCTCTCAACAGCGTTCAGAGCCCAGGTTATAACTCTTGTCAGCGTTCGCCCCAAATGATGTTGCGACGGGGGAATATTTTTTAGAGGGGGACAACCCTCAGATGGGGGGTCCTGACCCCCCTGCAATTTATGCCCCTGGTCTGACCAACCTGACAGAGCTTGAGAGGTGAAGAGGTGGGGAGAAAAATGGCAGATAATTGCCAAATGCAGATGAGCAAATCTTGTTGCATCATACCCAAAAATACTTTAAAAGTTAAAAGGCTGTAAATATGCTTCAACTAAGTACTGATGCAATGTACTTATTTTAGTTTTTTTATTTTTAATAAATTTAAAAAGTTGTCACAAATCTTTTGTTATTATGGAGTGTGGAGTGTAGATTAATGTGAAAAAAAAATTATTTACAGCAGTTTAACATAAGGCAGCAACATAACAAAATGTGAAAAAAAATGAAGGGGTACGAATAAATTCGCAAGACATATGTATACAGTTAGTCAATGGAAAGTTCGCACAAAAATGAAAATGATCATTTAATGAATTTGTGATTATATAAAAAAAGCACAGATTTCAGGAAAAGTTATTTCTGCAACGAGTCTCAGTAAATGCTTTTTCTGAGTTCTGAAAGTTACAGTATGTTTTCATTGAACATCAAGTAAGGGATAATGTACATTCAGCCGGTTGTTATCACAGAATAACCCCCGACAGGGTGAGCAGGACCCCGACACGAAGCTTATTACAGATGCTTGCCTCATAAGTAAATAATTAGACATGAAATATTAAATATTAAATATTTGAACACAAAGCTTCTGTGAAGACAGCAGTTGCTAGCAAGCGGAGTTGAAATATTTGAGTTGAAATATTTGAACAAAGCTTCCGTGAAGACAGCAGTTGCTAGCAAGCAGCAAGTTCAAACTAAACGGACATTTAGGGGATACGGTGCAGTCATACCACTTATTACACAACATTTCACCACATAAATAATTATGGCGGTAAAATATATTGATTTAAGATGAAAATGTTTTAAAATCTTACCAGTTTGTTAGTTATCTTATAATCCATTACAGTGAACAAAACAATCGTCGCAAAATGGCAGCAGTTGCAAAACGAGAGAGTGAGTTCACGATACCTGTATGACGTAATTAAATAATTGTACACATAATATTGAATTGAGTTTTAATATTTTATTAGCTAACCAAACGCAAAACTTCCACCAAGAAAAACTGTTCATAGCAAGAGCATAGAGCCGACTTCAGTTACCCGGATGAGCCTGTTATTAGCTTTTACCGGTTGTTATCGAGGGATAACATACCTCGGTATGTCGCGACTGACCATTCAGAATCAGTTATTCCACAGAGCAGTGTAATAAGCTCTTTTATTTCAGAGATCAAAGAAAAGTCGGTGAAAAGATCAAAGGCCACAAATTCTATAAACTTTAAACAACAACAGTATGAAAACAATAGGCTGAGATGAACTTTCAGCATGAACATTTTCCCGTTTCAATTATTCATTTTTAATGTGAGATGTTCCCTCTCAGGTCAGCGTGATTCTCTCAAGTTCCTCTTGGATGAGATTCCCTGGATCCGCCGTCTCATCAGTGGAGTTCTGCTACTTACTGCGGTCATTCTGGGTTTATTGCTGGTATTTGGAAGAATCTGAGTCATCACGTGAAAAGTAATGAAGGTGTTAAAGTTTCAGACATTTCCAAGCAAACAGATGATTTTGTGAGCTGTAAAAATGTACAAGCAAGTTCAACAAAATATGATATATATATATAATATATATCTTCAGATGCCTCTAATCTAATCTAATATTAGATTCAGTTATTTCACTTTAATGCAATGAAAATGACCTGTTTATTGCCTTGCCGTTAAACTGAAATCACTGAACCTAAACATAGGAGCCTGATAAAAATGATAATTTTTGAAGAAAATTTCAGAAGCTTTTGCATCTGTAGTCTTCAGACAATTTGAGTTGAATTACTGAAATAAATGAACTTTTCCACGACATTCTAATTTATTGAGATGCACCTGTATATACATACACATTGTTTTGGATTGGATTTGCATTGGAGCTCTACTGTTTATTTACAGTATTCAATACTATTCAATACTTTAAAATGTTATAAAAATCTTACAATTCTATATATTCTAAAAATATACTATATCTTGAACTTTTTTTTTGTTTTTTTTGAACGTTTGCAGAAACCCTGCATTATAAACAATTTCAGAAAAAAAGCTCTGGCAGGATTTTAATAACTAACCCTGGCCTTGGATTAAAACATGTGACTGATTTATTTATTTTTTTTATAAAATGACCTGGACATTGTTTGCTGAAATCATTGTGACATTACCAGGGTTTCTGTAGGTTTTATAAAGGTAAATTTAAGACCAAGTAAAGTTCACGAGTTTGCTCTGCAGATAATAAAGCGGGATAAATGGTATGCGTATTTGGCATAATGAATGATGATAATGAATTGGCCGGGTTAATTATCTGTACGAGCTCCAACTTTGTTAATAAAACATCATAAAATTTAAGTAATAAATTGAAGGGAACAAAATACATCAATATTTTCTGAAGCACAATGAATTGCATTAGCAACATTTCAAAGATTTAAAATGCAAC